CCCGGCCCCAGCCGCGTCCGCGCCTCCGGCGCCGCCCCGGGGCTCACGGGGGAGGGGGCGGCGAGGCGAGCAGATTCTGTTTATGAACCAGCTCCGGAGCAGACACAGGCCGCCTGTGAAAAGCACTTTCGCAGCATCAAGTTCCCTTCTTTGACGAGATGTCAAAACATCCCCCGCCGCTCCCGCCCCGGGCTGGGGCACACGGGGCCCGCTGGTCGCGCGGCGTCCCCTCCCCACCGCGCCGCCGAGTGCGGCTCCCCAAGAGCGCGTCCAATTTCCTGCTAACAGCCATTTGTCTGGGAGGAGGGGGACGCAGAGAGACAAAGAGGCACCGCGCCAGGCGGGAGGAGCGGAGCGGCCCTGCCACGCGGAAGCCGCGCGCCCGCGGAGGCGGGAAGGCTGGCAGGGCGGACTGCGGGCGTCCTCCCTCATTTCCTTTCCGGGGGATAGTGGGGGCCTGCCGCGCCTCCTTCGTCCTCTGATGGATGATCTGTCTCCTGGAGACCCTGGCTGGCCCCGGCCTCGATCTTCCTAGGCTCCCGGCTCGCGACCGGTCCGGCAGTGCGGATCATGCGCGCCCTCTAGTGGCTGCGCCTCGAACGCGCGGTCGGAGGCTCAAAGCCACGCCTGCCCGCGGCCCGGGTGATACTTCCGAGGTCAGAAGCTGAAATCTGCTCATACCTGTGGTCCTAGCCCCTGGGAAGACCCACTGAACATCTGGGAAGAACTGCTGTCAGGTCGCATCAGGCCCGTTCTCCTGCTCCCAGGAACAAGTTGTGCAGAAACTCCCTGACATGTTGGACAAACACCCACCATTGGGGCGCAGCTGCCTAGGGAGGGCATTCTGAGGCCCTCTTCCAGAACCTAGACATGCAGCTCCGAAGAGTGGTGTGAATCAGACGACTTGGGAGTTTGATCCAGGAGCCATTTTCTTGAAGATATGTGGTCTGGCAATCCGTGGGGACAATAGAAAGGATAGCTTGAAACTGGACACTGTTTCTTAAATTCCCTCGTAGGGGTCTGCCCTAAGTAGAGTTGGAGAGCATCCAGACATTTTGCAGATTAGAAAAACTCACGGAGGTTAGTGATGTGCGCCTGTGTGTGCCGGCTGCCTGCCTGAAAGACCTCTGGGTGCGGGCGCTCCACCCTCCCACTGCTCAGAAGGCTGGGAGTGACAGGTCCTGGAGGAGATCCGGCCAGACAGCTCACTGTAGGCTTCCTCCCCCGGCCCACCTCCTCAGAACCCACCACCCTCGTGGCCTCTTTTGATCAGGAGTGGAAGGCCCTACGTCATCGCCCTGAGAGGCTCTCTCCAGAAGGGCAACCCTTGCTGGGGAAAGGACCTCCAGCTGAGGCACTTGGCCTTGGGCTGGTTCCTTTACTCCGCGGATACTGGCAGCCCTCTGCATCAGCCTCGTGAGCTGGTCAGGGGAGAAGTTTCTTCTGCCCGTGCCTCACCCCAACCCGGGGCAGAATAAAGAAACCCGAAGGCAGAAATGTGATTTATTTGTAAAGGAGATGTTTGGAGCAGGGAGAGAAGGGCTGAAGAGCTCTGTGTACATGGGTACTGGGCGAGGGCCTAACTACTGCACGCATTTACAGTCTTGGGGAGATCAACTGTGCTGTCGGACTGGGGTGCTGAGGCTTCTCTAAATTACTTGTTGTGTGTCTGGCCTCTACCCCCTCCAAGGCACGTGCCAGCCCTTTTGTAAGTGGGGAGCCCAGAGAGGGAGAGGATTAGGGCTGGGGAGGATTCTGAGATGCCAGCATCTGTGCTTCCAGTTCATCCTCAGGTTCACAGCACCCTACACGTGCATGCTACTTGTCAGTTTGAGTCCCCCTCCCCCAAGCCTGGAAGAAAAAAGCTTTGCCCCAAACTAATAGCTCCTCCCGTTACCAACCTCTAGTCCCGAGGCAGTGCCCCCACTTCTCGAGACTGAGACTGGAGGTCCCTGAGCCAACACATGGTGACTAATCATGGCCCCCTGGGCCAACAGGAAGTACAGAGGTGAGGTGTGGGTCTGAACCTCTGCTCAGCTGGGCGACGGGTGGAGCCCTTGGGCAGAAGGCCTAGAAGTTCTCGTAATGGTGGGCGAAATGGGTCCGATCCTGCCTGTTGATGAGCTGACAAGCCTTTTCCACATTCTTGGTCATGCCAGGGGGGCCACAGCTAAATACCCCGATCTTCCGGACCTGTTACAGGAGGAAGAAGTGAAGGCTAGCTCATGGTTCAGAGGCAGAGTTAGCTCAGTGTCAAAAGGCGGTCTGGCCCTGAGTGCAGATACAGGGATGACTCTGTTCAGAGGAAGGTCTAGGCCCAGGTTCACGGTGCAGGCTAGGATTTTGCTTACATTCAAGACCAGCAAGACACCGCGCAAGGGCTTATTGAGTGCTCGCGAAGGCTTGCTGGGAGCAGGCATAGCAAAGGCTAGTTCAGGGTTTACTATAGAGTTCCTCATAAGGACTGGGCTAACCATTGTCCTGGCTGATAGCACAGCGTCTCACTGAGGACCAGCCCAGTGTCTGAAGACCAGCTTAGTGTCCCAGGGCTGTCAGTGTTACTGGGATGGGGGCAGCCCTGAGGTTATAGCAAGGACTAGCTCAATTATTGAGCTCTTCCTTCTGGATAATGCATCATGGCTTCAGAGATGGCAAATGCCGCCTGTTACCTTCTTCCTTTACTCCCTCAGAGTGACCCCCCCCACCACCATCCTTTCCATTCCATTGGCCCACCAGTCTCTAGGGGATGGGTTCTCATCTGCAGCTGATTCTTCTCTGAGGGAGCAGATTTGGGAGCTTTGCTCAGAACCAGATGCTAAGGGTGAAGAGAGCCCTGAAGAGAGTCTGAGGCGGGACTGACCTGGGGGTGGACCTCCTGCAGGGAGTTGAAGAAGGGTTCGAAAGGGGGACGGCCGAAGTGGGTGACAGAGCGCAGGCCCGTGAACAGGCTCCGGGTCAGCACCTTCTGGAAGTGGTTCAGCACCTTCTGGAAGTGCCGCTCGCAGATGTACTGGGGGAGGGAGAGGTGGAGGAAGGTCACAGCCAGGAAGGCCAGGGTGGACCCGTAGCGCAGACGGTGGCCCCCCACCCTGCCTGGCCGGCCCTGACCTACCAGCATGGTGGTCCTGAGGTCGAACTTCTCGGCCAGCTGGGTGATGTAGATGTGCACGGACACCAGGTCCTGGTGGTCGTTCTCCTCCACCTCCCGGATGATGTCGGCCAGCCACTCGAACTGCCGCTGGGTCCGCGTCACCCAGATGAAGTAGATCTGGGGACACATGCCAGAGCTTGGACTGGGCTCAGCTCAGGCATCCTAGGCATGCTGGGAGTCTCTGTACTGACAGAACTCTCTGACCTCAGCCAATATTTGGCTCTCCCCAAATGCCCTGGAAGGATGGAGTGTATGGGTCACAGGGCCTGCCTCTGAGGCTGGAGATGGAGCTGCCCCAGGGCATGAAGGTGAGAGATGGCCTGGAGTCAGGCAAAAGGACCCTCTCGATTAGGGAGCTGAACGTCTTTTGGATGGGAAGCAGTCTGTCCATGCTGGCCCTGTCCACCACTCCCAGTGGGACCTGCTCTGCTGCCCAGGGGGAGAGGGTGGCTGAGGGACATGTCACAGAGCAGCCTCAGGAAAGACCCATCTGACTGGAGTAGATGAAAACGGGCTCAGAGAGACCAGCAGAGGAGCCCTGCCCTGGGGAGACACTCTTCAGCTTCTGAACTGGGGGAAGTAGGATTGTGCAGGTTAACAAGCGCAGGCAGGGGGCCAGCAGCTGTGTGGTGGTTAAAGCTGGACTCTCACATGGCTGACCACAGTTCGGTCCCAGACCTGGGTGTGTATGCGTGCATGCCCAAAACAAAATCCCAGGAGAAGAATGGAGGAGAAGGGATTGTGGCGTGGCCATCCCCCTGGGAGGATGATTTCTCACTTTCCCTCTCTCTGTTTCTTCCTAGTGAGTGCATGCACTTTATGACAAAAACCTTAAAAAAAAATCAATTAATTTTAAAAAGTGCATGCAGAGCTAGCATGGACAGAGAGGAGGAGAGCTGTCACCTTCTGAGTGCTGACAGCATGTGGGCTGGGCCTCTGCCCTGCGGGATTCCAGAGCCCCTGACTCACCTGCCAGGCCCAGAAAGACGAGCAGGGGCCTGCCACCAGGTCCAGGCTGGGGTGAAGGGGCCGCATGTGGAAGGAACTTGAGGGCTTTGGCTGTACTCCTGGGGCCCACCCAGCCCACCAGCCTTGCCTTGCCAGTTTTGCGTGTGCCCCACCCCAGTCCTGCCCTTCCCTCTCCCAGCCCAGCAGAGCTCCAAGTGCCGGCCTCCTCTGAAAGAGGGAATGGATTTCTTCACCCCCAACCAACCCTGCCTGGAGGAACCCCCAGAAGCAAACCCTGTGTAGAACACTCCATAAGTGAGGGAAGCCAGGAGCCTGGGGGGCACTAGCAAACCAACTCCGTCTTTCAGGGTTTGGAGATACTCTGCCGCCTCCCTACCCCCAGGTTTCAGACCAACTTGCCATTGCCCAGATCAGGGAGGCTAAAAACAGTGGCCAGAAAGAAAGGCCCAGACAGGGAAGAGGGCCCAGGCACATGGGAAGGAGGGGGTCACTTGCCTTCTTACAGAACACTTGGCAGCTCACTGACGACTTGAAGACCAGGTCTTTGAGGATGGAGGCAAAAGGAGTGACCCCAATGCCCCCTCCCACTAGCACCGACACCTCAAACTTGTGCCACTCCTGGTGGCCCTCTCCAAACGGCCCATCGAGGTAGAGCTGCAAGGAGGGGAGTAGTTTGAGTCAAGCTTGTTCACTACTACAGGCAGAAAGGTGAGGCAGGGAAAGGCAGGTTATGGAGTTGGAGGGGGTGGGAGGCCTTATCTGGATGGAGGAGGGGAGAGGCACAGTGGGGAGTCTGGGGCTGCAGGGTCCAGGCCTGCTACGGGCTGTGGGAGCATACGGCGCATCTGGCATGGGCTGGGGCACCTTCGGGTATCTGGCACAGCCGTCGCCCGTCACAGGGGAGTAGATCTCCCTGAGGCGAGTGGTCCAGGGCCCCGCTGCTCGGATGTGCAGACTGAGCGTGTCTTCGTGGGGCGCGGAGGTCAGCGTGAAGGGGTGGTACTCGGTGGTCCCCAGAGCCAGGCAGGCGATCCGCACCCACTGCCCTGACTTGTACTCAAAGCCCTGGGGCCGCTGGAACTGCAGGTGGGTCACTCCTGGGGAGGGACAGTGGGCAGGGGGCTGCTGACCTGAACCCACCAAGAATGTGGCCTCCAGAGCGTGTTTCCCTGCCCGCAGCCTCAGCTCTGCTCTGGAATCTGGTAAGGGGGTCCTCCCTGCATCAGAAGCTCTTCTCTAAGAGGGCTCGGGCAGCACTGGGGCTGGTGGGCAAGGCAAGGGGCAGCCTGGCCTGGATTCTGTCACTATCCATAGTGAGATGGTCCCAGGTCCCTTGGCAAGAAACTCTCCTTACCTGCCGTCTCGTCCCTGCCACCCCAGGACCCTGCCACATCCACTGGCCTAGGCCAGGAGACTGTGTGGTCTGTGTTCTCCCCCTGCCTGTCAGCTTCCTCAGCGTCACCAGTCTGGTTCCTGAGAGCCTCTGGGCTGGTACCTGAAGGCAGCAGCTCGGCCTTCACCACGCCGATCTCCACCTTCTTCCTGCTCAGGCTCACCAACTTGTCCCCCATGTAGATGAGCGCCGGGACCAGGAAGAAGATGTGGAAGCGGGGCAGCTGGATCAGGGCGAAGCTGCCGTGGATGATGAGCTGTTTAGAGCGAAGAGCACAGCTCAGGCCCGGTGACACCCCCAGCCGGGTCTGGGCAGACTCAGACCTTAGACCCTGCGTCCCTCCCACTGATATATCCAGTTCCCACCTCACCGTGTACCACACTCCTCCCAGGTCCCCAAACCTCAGTACCCAAACTCCTTCTTCCAAAGCGTTTCCTGAAGAATGAAACTTTCCAGCCCTCTGACACCACCCTCGGCCAAGCAACTCTCAGCTGGGTTCATGTAGCCCCCCTAACTGGTCTTGTTCCACCAGGACTCAAGACAGCCAGTGTGCGTTTTGTAAAATTCATTTTGTATCATCCCCAGCCTCAAGTGTTTTGGTGGACTTCCCACTGCACTACAAAGCCTGGCAGTATTCTGAGCTCTGCCTGCCAGCCTGTCCCCCTCCCTGTCCCTCAAACACAGCAAGTTCTTCCTGCTTCAGGACCTTAGTACCAGCTGTTCCCCGTGCCTGGAATGACCTTCCCCCACTTCTCATAGCTAGCTCCATCTCACTTTCGGGTCCTAGAAGAAATGCCAAATCCTCAGGCCTGCCTTCAGCCCTCTCTGTCACCTCTCCCTGTCGGCACCCTCACCGCACCTGCCATCGCCTGCGATACTTCTGTTTGTTCACGCACTCCCGGGTTTACTATTGTCTTTCCACTGGACTGAGGGTGGGGACTGTTTGCCACTATATTCTCAGCTCCTAGCAGTTTCAGCCTGGCACACAGTAGGCGCTCCTGTCAGTAGATGGGACTGGCCCTGCAGCCTAGTGGTTAAGGGAGCCAGATCCCATATGGCAATTCAAATCCCAACCTGGTGACTTGACACACTGCATACATGTGCCTGCGTGCCCCAGATCCCAACGGGGTGGAGAAATAGAAGGAACTGAGGCGTGGTCATGTCCCATTGTGGGGGGGAGGGCTTTCCCCTCTCCCTCTCTCTGGGGAGCTCATGTGCCCTCCAGCAATTAAAAAATAATAACAATAACTGGGTAGAGCAGTCTCCCGGTATTTTCTCAGTGTGGAGGCTAAGAACACCTAACTCAGTTATTTTTCATGACATAACCGACGGCATCATCCGGTTCTGGTCCTTTCCCTAGGAAGTGTCTATGGTGGTCAGACACTGCTGGCCCCATCCTTCCTACACACTTGCTCCCAAGTCTGGGTCAGTCTGGGTCAGTCTGGCCCCTCGTCTGCTTCTCCTTAGGACCCACCCCCTCAGGGCTCACTAGCCCAGGATGGCCAGACCCCAGGTGTCCTTTCAGACCATGTCCGCTCCACTCTTGGCAGCCTGTGGCGCTAAGGCCCACCCCCTCCTCGCCACTGCTGCAACAGTGTGCTACTAGTTCTGCCTCTTTGCCTCTTGGGCCACTCGCTTTCCATCTCCTCTGCTGGCTTCATTCTTCCTGCCACCTCCAGTCCCGGGTGCTGCCCAAGCCTGGTTTCCTCACCCTCTGCTATTCTCTTTCTATGCTGTCCCATGTGGCATGGTCTCTCATCCTAGCCACAGCCCCCCAGCTTCAGCCACAGGCCCCACATATCCACCAGCATGTCCTGTCACCCCCTAATGTCACCAGCCTAGCCAGGCCTGGTTGCTCTGTCCCTGAATACCCTATCACCATCCCCCCACACCTGTGCTCATGCCCTTCCTCTACCTGGGCCGCACTTCAGTTCCCACTCTGCCCTGTTAAAGCTGAGCTTCTCTCTCCAAAGGCTTGGCTCAAGCCTCCTCTTCTCTCCAAAGTCTTCCTGAACCAGTTTAGGCCAAGTGACACTCCCATCAGTGAGCTCCAATAACCTACTGTTGGAACACTCCAGCAATTCATCCAATCTTGCATGTTCAATTTGATTATTTCATACATGTGGCTACTTCTGCAACAAATCTTAAGTTCCTAAGGGAGCGGGGTTATAACCATTCCCCTAATCTGCTGGGTCTCACACAAAGCTAGACCATAAAAGACCCTCAACAGATATCTGTTAACCTGAACTCTGCTTCCTTTTTTGGATCCCTTCCTCCAGCTGAATGTTTTCAAATTCTTGAACCTTTTCCTGCAGGACTAACACAAGCCTCTCTGAGTTCTTCTCTGAACTGGCACTGTTTTCCTGGGTTTCTTCATTGTGGAGCTCACGCCCAACCCTAGGGCTTTCTAGCATCATCTGGCTGACTACAATGGCAGGGTGACCTCATGCTGTTTCTACACCCCATTTCATGTTGGCTTTACTTTTTTTTTTTTGGAGAGGCTTTTGCTATAGGGCGCATGTGCTCACCAGAAAGACAGAGACAGAGAGACAGAGAACTAGAAATCACCCCCCAGGGGGGATAGCCACACCACAATCCCTTCTCCTCCATTCTCCTCTCAGGATCTTGGGCATGCACACACATGTACCCGGCATGAGTTTAAGCCACCAGATCCAGGACTCGAACTGCGGTTGACTACACAGGAGTCCAGCAGTGTAGCCATTATGCCATCTGCTGGTCCCATGTTGGCTTTACTTTCAAACCACAAAGCTGCTGCAGATTTCTGGCTGGCTGAGGGGCTGTAGTGGTGGGGGCAGCTGGCCAGCTGAGCTCTGGTGTGCTAGCCCTGCCCTCTTCAGCCTGGATCCGAAGCCTGGACACCCTTCCCCAGGGACCACTCTAGACAGGGCCTCTTTCCTTAGAACTTCTCTTTCTGCCCAAAGTCATGTGGCCGTGTCTGGGATAAGAGGGAAGGAGGAGGGTGCTTTGGCCCTCAGCTCCCGAGGTGAGTAGAGCTGCCCAGCAGAGGAGTCTGCACCTTTCTTAGGCCCCAACGTTCCTGCCAGCAGGAAGGGCATCTCTGAACCCTAGTGATGCCCACAACCCAGAGGTAAATCAGAAAGGGAGCTTTGTTTCAGGGAGCCAGGCTGACCACTCTTCTGGGTCTTCCATTTTGCTCAAAGAAGCAACTTTATCACCAGGAATATCTTCACCCACAACAGATGCAGTAGCCCAGGATACTAGGACTCCACCCATTATTGGGAAGGTGAGGAGGGAGGGATAGATTAACCACAGCTGCCAAAGAAGGGAGAGACGTCAGAAACAAACACCATCGGTTCTAGGGAATGTCCTAAGCCAAGGCTGGGTAGACCGTAAGGTGCTGAGCCACAGGCCAGTTGGAAACAGACCCTCCTACCTACCAGTGAGGACAGACCATACCTGGGTAGAGGCCGTGAGACAAAGGAGCCAGCCAGACTGAGGCCATAGTGCTCTCTGTTTGTCTCACAACAAGGAGACCCCTGTGTGCGGTTCTGCCAGGGCTCTGGGCTCCCTGAATGCTGGCAGCCAGGCCACAATAGCAAGGACAGCTGGGGTCTGGGCATTTGGTTTAGGTGCTCAGAGAGGCCATCTGCGTGCCCTCTGGGGTCTGTAACCATGAAAAAGGCAAGAAGGGGAGATGACACAGGGACATGGGTCACAGTCAGCTCTGGACAAACCAGTTGAAGCAGCTAGTGACAAACCCAGGGACAGGTGATGGAAATAGAAGGGAAGGGCACTAAGGGAAGGGAGGCAGGAGGCCAGATTAAGGAGGAAGAAAGGGAATAGATGGGGTCCTCAAAAACCCATTTTATCAGCAATCCAACTGGAGCCATTTTGAGCAGGCTCATGAACTACACAGGTTAACTGGGTGGTGGGCCCAATGCCCCCCAAACAGGATCAGAACAAAAGCGGCAAAACCCTTTAAAGATAAATTTCTCCTAAAAACGGTGATGTCCCCTTGGGTGCAGGCAGTCTGCGCAAAGTGGGGAAAGACTGGCTGAAGCGATGGTGGGGGTGCCTGCAGGGAATGCTGATCGGCCCGACAGGCTTCCACGTGCTGCTTCCTGGGTCAGCCTCCTGGACAACCCTGCACTAGCATCCCATTTTCGAAGAGCATGGAGACGAACATCGGGATGGAGAGTTAACGACCTAGCCCCCGTTGCCTCCCCGAGAATGCCCGGCCCATGCTCTCGGGCCTGGCTCACAGCCTGGCGCTCTCACCAGGACGTAGAGCAGGATGTAGAGGTGGTGGGTCAGCCAGAAGCCCCGGAAGCTGCGGCGGCGGAAGTGGTGGGAGGCGAAGACGTACATGATGGCGAGGACCAGGAGCAGGATGACCCCTGTGAGGCCTGTGAAGTGACGAGCAGTGTCTTGCAGGGGAAGCCACTCTGAGACCTCCAGGGCCAGGGTCCGCTTCCCACTCCATGGCCCAGAGTAGGCGTGGGAAGGCCCCAGCACCCTCTGTTCCCCTCTGCCTGGCTGCCCATCACGGGTACCTTTCCCTTCAGCAAAGCCTTCGCATCCTTCATTGCCTTTGTCACCATGCTTATTTTTCACTTGTGTCATTATTTGTCTTACGTCTGTCACTTTTCTGACTTAGGTGCACAAAAACAGGGAACAGGCTGGGCTAGTTCCCCACCAAATCCTACTACCCAGTGCCGGGCCGGCACTCTGTGGGTCTTACGTAAATACCTGTTACGGGAATGGATAAAGGAATCATTCCATTTGCCCACTATGAATAATCATCTATGCTGAATGAATGAATGAATGAATGTCATCTACTCTGGGCCCTCTGGGCCAGTCATGAAATTATTGCAGGCCATGCCCTTCCAGAGTTAAGGTTTCGTCCTTGTCCCTGCACCACTGTGCCTGGCAGCCACAGCACGCGGTGTGAGCACTGACATCGGGGGAGGCCACCTTGTCTGCTCACCAGCAGAGCCTCAGGCCCAGCCTGGAGTTGGCGGGAAACCCTTCCTTGCACGAGAAACCCCAGGTTGGAGGTACACTGGAGTTTAATACTGGAGCTGGAGTGGTGGTGTATGAACAGAGAATAGTCCCTCGGGTGATCAAGGAGGAAAGAGGCAGAAATTAGGAAGATTAGAGCCCTGCCGTACGGGAAAGCAAAGGTTAAGAAGGGATCTAACCAAAGCCTGTAAAGTCTTGAACGGAGAGGGGAACGTAAACACAGCCTTATTCATTGAATCCCAAAGCGCTGGAATTAGCAAGCACCTTCTGAAGTTCAAAGCAGATCGTTTCAGGATTAAAAAAAAAAAAAAGTAATAAAAAAAACATGCTGTGTTTCACAAAGAGGAGCGAGTACAGAAAATGTGTTACCCCAAGGAGGGAACAGACTGAAAATATAAATAGATTCAAGAAGAGCTTGAATAGATTCACAGCTAATCACTCTAAAATGGGCGATTATAGAGGGTTAGGAATACGCCCCTAAACAATCTTTGCCAAGACATACTACTAGGGATGGGGGCCTTTGTCTGGTTGACAAAGACCTTGGTTCTTCCCCATGTAGCTATTCAAAGTTACTGTCATGATAGGCGTGCATGTTGGGGCGTGGGGAGCTAGACTAGAATGAGCTAGTAGAACTAGCCTCTACGAGGGAAGGGACCAGTCCAGAGTAGGGGCAGGAACGCAGCTAAACTCCTGAGTGTAGGACTGGAACGCAGAGCCACCAGAGCTGCTCACTCCCCAGGAGTGTCCTCAGGGCCAGAGAGCAGAGCCTGGCTCCCTACAGCAGCTGAGTAAGTCTAGGCTGCCCCGTGGCAGACAGAACCCACCACCTGGAGCTTGGAGTCAGCCCCAGAAAGTTGCAGAGCCAGGAGGACTCTCACCTGGTACGGTCTGGAAGAACCACCAGTAGTACTTCTGGGGGAATTCAGACCTGCATGGAAGAGACAGCAAGAAAGAACTCTGAGAGGAGATCTCAGACTTCCAGAGGAAGCAGCCCTGCCTGGCCACCAACCTCTCTGCCAATCTGAGGATGGGTGCTCAGGCTGGTCATTGTCTGCTGCATAGCCTTGAAAGCGACACTCCTCTGGGCCAAACTCCCGCACTCCGCCCCCCACGCGCTGCTGTGCTCACCCATTGTCATGGAAGAGGCCAGGGAAGAGGCAGGAGAGGACGCTGAGTGGGCTGACGGAGAACAGGTACACATTGACCACGTGGCCCGCACTGTGTAAGACTGAGGGAGACCAAGGACCAGGGTGTGAGTCCAGGGACAGTCCCAGGGATGGGTGCTCAACACATTCAGCCCAAGATGGAAGGTCCTGGTCAAACAGTTGGGAGCCTGGAAAAGGAGCCTAGGGGCCTGGACTTCTGGCCTCTCGTCATCCTCCGTTTCCTTCCCCTAACCCCATATGTGCACCATGCGTGAACACAACCACATGAGCCAGGAATTACCCCGTTAGAAGTTCATCCCTTTGGTTTCGCTCACAGAGCTGTGTTTTAAAACATAAAAACTGGGAGACAGAACACATTATGTGCACTCATTCTGGGGTGTTAATAGCTGTCAGCTGGAGGCTGATGAGGCGCCCTGGGAAGCACCCTGGTGTGGAGCAGTGAGGGCTCCTGGGCGTCCTCCAGGGGCCGGCCTAGCCAGCCCCGTTCTGTGCAGCACACACGAGCCTCGCTGTACAGGTAAGTGCAGGCATGTGTGTGTGTGTGTGTCGGGGGGGGGGGGGGGGGGCGAAAAGAGACAGGGATCCCGAAAGCCCCCGGCCCTGCCTGTGAGGACGATGGCGGTGGAGGCGATGAGGCGATGGAAGTCCACGGCGGCGTCGAAGGGCACGTAGCGGTTGAGGAAGGTCTCCCGCAGGAAGGTGATGAGGTTGCGGCACATGGTGAGCAGGATGTAGGAGAACATGAAGGAGATGCTGGCCGCCGTGCCCCGCGACAGGATGATGCCCACGCGCGTGGTGTCCGTGATGCCCTTGTGGTGCGCTGCAAAGGCGTAGTCTGCGGAGACGAGGTGGGGACGGTGCGGAGGGGGCCTGCTGTTCAGAGGGCCATTGAGCTCTGGCCCTGGCCACCAGCCACGCGCAAGAGGCCTCCGGGTTGTCTTTCTCGAGCGGGCCCCACTCTCTGGCACCCTGGCACCCGCACGATGTCCTGCCCTCAGGCTGTCACTTATCGCAGGCCCCGCCCCGCGGGCTGTCTATCATTCACACTAGGCCCCGCCCCCAGGGCTTGCCCTTATTTCCAGCCTCGTGCCCCAGGCTGGCACCGAGTGACGTCACTCACAGTAGGCCCTCTCCAGGAAGAGCGCCCCTGCAATGGCGTAGAATACGGCCACGCAGCCGATGTGGCGCCGGTAGTTCTCGATGAAGCGCTTGAACTGCTGCACGGTCTGGTGGCGACGGCTGCGCTGAAACTTCTCTCGGTGCGCCTCGGTGAACAGCAAGGGCTGGAACGACGTTACCCTGGGAGACAAACGGCCTGAGCCCTCGATCCCCATCCACCCAACGCTGGTGGAGCCTCGCCTCCCAGAGGGGATTCGCGGAGCAGCGAGGGACTGGTACCAATTCCGAGGAAGAGGCGGCCAGTGACCACGGGAAAGCAGGGTGCAGACCCCAAGGGCCATACCACACTCAGTGAGCTTCTGGCTAGTCATTTCATCCTTGGGGATACACTCTGCTGTCCATACACACTCAGCCCCTTCCCTAGCTTCCAGCTCCCACCAGGCACCAACTGTCAGCCTTTACTGGAGGAGACTCAAAGGACACCTCCTCCGTGAAGACTTCTCTGATCTCCCCAGGGACAGGCAAGAGCTTCCTTGTGCTCTGAAGCCCTTGTTCTTACCACTGTTACAACCTTCATCACTGGGCATAGTAATTCTTAGTGTGCCAGACTATCTGGCCAGACTGCACACTTCCTGGGCAGGGAGGGTTCCTTCTGCCTGCACTCCCAGAGCTCAGATGGTGACTGGCACCGAGTAGTGGGTGTATGCGTGCCGGAGAGGTGGGTGAACTGCCCGGGCTTAAGGAGAACAGCAGGCGTACTTCTTGCCAAACCTCCGTCGAATCTCCTGGGGAGGGTCCATGTCCTTGGGACACTGAAGTCTCGGTGGTGTCATCTCAGTCCCGACATCACTGCGCGAACAGCGGGCACTCACTCTGGGAGACGGACTAGGACAGAGATGGACATTGGACCTTGGCCACCTCAGCCCTCTGTGGCCCCAGGCTGCCTCAAAACCTCCTCTGTCAT